ATATATATATATATATATATATAAACTGGATTGAACTGAACTTAATTAGTTGGATGGAACAATTTGTTATCTAATTAATTATTAATAGACAAGTATTCATAAGTTAATTATTTGTTTACATCCCTAATTCTTACCTCAAGTCATGCAGTTTTATTTGACGTCACAGAAAGTGGAATATATCAATTTTCATTACAGTTTTTTCATTCTCTTCAGATTAAACTCTTTTACTGCATTTATCTGGCCTCTTAACAAACCTGGGGTAATTTTAAAAAGTGCTACTGTGTAGGACTTTTCAAAAGTCCTGGTGTTTTTCAAATGACTGTGGTAAAACTGAATCGCAGCTTATTGCGCATGTTTCAATAGTACCCCAGGTAACAGCTGGAAGTCAATTGTGAATAATCATATAATTGTGCTTTCAAGAATCTCTTAAATCAATAGCTTCCTGTGAAAGACAATAAAAGAGACACACACCTTAAATATCATATTCATATACATTCTCTTATATATTCGGCTCTTATCAACATCCATTGTTTGCAGCCAATGTTCAACTGAAATATTCAGATTATAACAGCAACAGTGGGAATCTTCAATTTCAGATTCATGAAAGAAGTTAGTCCTGGTTTGGCCTGATAATCATTTGGGATTAGAGGGAAAACTGTGATTCAAGTTTGTGCCACATGAGCTAAGATAATAGCCTAAATCCCTCACAAGCAGTGCTGCATTTCATAACCAGAGCAAATTAGATGCTGATAGGGTAACATGGGAGTTACTGAACCTTTGATACAACTCCTCTTGGTCAGTAGGCACAGCGAGTGGAGAGGAACTGTGTTGAAGTAAAGCTGAAAAGGCTGAGAAGAAGAAGAAGAGGGGGGACTTAATGAAAAAAAAAAGTAAGGAGGCTCCCAGGACAGGATAACACTACAGCATAAGGATGCTAGAGGAGAGAAGTTAATCAATGCAATTTCCTCTCATCCATCAACAGAACATTCCTCCCTCTCCTTCTGCATCCCTTCACTTCGTGCACAAATCTTACCACCAGGGTGAGGAAGAGCCTAATCAGCCACTGGCACTGGATATATGCTATTGTACTGCCCAGCTGTGACTAATAGGCCACATTCTCTGTCATTATCTCCAAAACAACACACTCTAACCTCAGACTCATTCTTGCCTGAGCTGGAAATTTTGGGAGTCAAGTTGGGGGTAAATGTAGAATTAGCATTTGCTAATAGCTTTGGCCCTTATCCAGACTATTTGCAACCATTAAATAAAAAAGAGAGAATTGCAATATGTTATACTTTGCTTGTATTTAGCAGAATTTTGTCCAGAAAGCTTAAGCTGCATTAATGGGAAACTTTTTCCATTAGGGGCCCTCCTAACAAAGGAAAATGAATGTCTGAGGAAAACATAAGGAGTAGAGGTTAATAGCTCAATTAATGTATTATTTTTATTAATGAGAGATTAATTTTAAGTTAGTTTGAACCCAGAATGTCTTAATTTTCCACAAACGAAGGATGAAAAGATCCCCAAAACATTATTCTTTTAAATGTACTTGGACATGTCTTGCTTACCAGTAAAACATCCTCAAACTGAAATCTGTTTAAAGAATTTAACAAACAAAACCAGCATTCATTTAATAGATAAACCACTAACAATAATATATTTCAGACATTTACTTTTGATTTAGGGGATTATAGATAACAGCTGATACGAAATCCAAATTAAGAGTTAAAAAAAGTTTAATACAGGAATGTTATGCAATGCTTGTGAAGTTCACAATGCAGGATTTAACTGGAAGCAACAAGACTTTTTCACAGTTTTCTTGAAAACATTTTGATTCAGGAGTCTTTGTCACTTCTAGAGGCATTTCAGAAAAAAATAAAAATGAACTAAAGTCTGGCTGCCTCCGATCCTTTGTGCTTGCCATTATCTGGGTGACTAAAAATGTATTTATTTATAAAAAAGAATGCTGACTTGACAATTGTTAACCAGACAACCATAGGCACACTCTCAAATGAGGGTAATTTATAAAAAAATCTAGAATTTGGTGATTCACAGAGTTCTGTAATGAAGCATAAAATCCGAAGGTTCAGAGTGTCTTGAAAAATGTTTCCAAAAGAAAGGGCGGCCAAGAAATAGAGTAACCACACACCAACCCGCACAGACATATCCAGGACATGGCCTACAACTGTCACATTCATTGTGTTAAGTTCCTCCTGTACCACAGACAACATGAGAAGAGGCCTGTGTGAATAGAAAAGGAACCAGACTGCTGTCTCTGTAGTCCCAAAACCTCTTTTTAAAGCATGCAAATTTTAACTTTCATTTGTAAATTAGTTCCCAGTGTGAGAAGAATAAAGAGGAACAGTATCCAGGCTGCTGCTGGTTCAGTGCAAGGTTTCCTCGCTGTCCAGCTTTATTGAGCTGCTGATCCCATTTACCGGAGTAATCAGACATCTACTCACACTTCTAAAAATACCAGTACTTTTTTTAATCACCATTATATGACCAATTGGGTACTGTAAAGAGGAAGATATGGGACACTGGACCCAATTATGCCGATTAGCAGAAGCCTCCTATGAAAAGAAGCAGGGGATCCTCAACAACCAAGCAGTGACCACCTCCATTCAGCACTAGTTTGAAACAGTAACTTAAGGGAAATGAGCCCAAACAAAGAAATGAGGGCAAATACTACAGGCTAAAGAGAGGTAATCTCAAGTACGTCTCTGCGATAAAAATTATTTAACTGGTTAATTATAACCCTTGATCTTTCTGACAAAAACAATTTTAGCTTTTATCAGCTTTAAGCAAAAAAAATATAAAGCTTGTTTATAGAATGTTGTGTACAAAAATAAATAAATATTAAGATTTTAAAAAAACAATCTAACATTTGTTAAAAATTGACTTTCTGATGTCCTTCTCATCTAGCTGAAATTATTAGATTTGTTCTAAATATTACAAAAATGAGGGCATAATACAAACGCCAAAAAAAGCTGTTTATCTGAAAACAATATAGGAACCTCTCCAACAACCTGACACCTACAGTACAACTCTTTACACTCAACAGCTAAAAAAATTTAGGTTTGGGCATACAGGTGGTGCAGTGGTTAGCGAGCATGACATGTATGGAGGCCTTGGTACTCGACGCAGGTGACCCTGCGGTTCTTTCCCATGTGTCTTTCCCCCTTTCCTGTGAGCCTACTTTCAAAAAAA